AGGAGGGTTTGGAATGAGCTCAGGATCAAGCTCCCGTGGGCAGCAGCCCCTCGTGCATCTCTGGGAGATGGCTGGGTTCCAGCAGGAAGGACGGGGGCTCACAAACCCCCAGGGCATCTTTCTTGCATCCAAAATGGACTCTAGCCAGGACAGCTTCCCCTCGTCCAGCCTCTCACTGCACTGCAGGGGCCTTGCACACTGCTTGCTGACAGGGAGCAGCTCCCAGGTGTGAGCCGGGCCTGAGCCTGGTGGGCGGTCAGACCCCACCAGGGTGAAGACACCCCGACTCCTCCACACAGAGCAGGAGAGCCTGATCGTCTTCTATAACCTAAGGAAAAGCCAGCGAGGGGACGAGAACCCGACGAGGAAAGACGGGGACAGGGGACAGCACCCGAGACCCAGGAGACAGCGGGCTCCGGTTCCCGAGGGTCAAGGAGCCCGTGCACACGGTGGGCGGGCGGGGGTCCCAAGGAAGGGAAGAGGAACAGCCTCCACGCCAGCCCCAAACCCAGGCTCCTGGAGGGCGAAGACCAGCCTCCGACAGTCTAGCCTCCAGAATGTCCTGGACAGGATGACAAGGATCCAGGGGGTCAGCGATGGAGGAGGAGGAGGCCCAGGGGCAGGAGGGGTGCGTGTGGGACACACCCCAGGGAGCCTCGCCCCCACACACAGGTCTCAGGAGTCTTGGGGAGAAGCTGCTGGGGAAGCCTGACCGTCCGTATTCCACCTCCTCCTACTGACCACCAAGCAGAGCCCAAGAACAGAGCCTGCCCACAGCGGCCCCGGTGAACAGCTGTCGAGTGGACAGTGAGCCGCGTTTCAGTCAGGGTCTGGGCGATCCTCCCAGGGAAACCCATGCCTACCGGAATTACGACTGAGTTCATGTGGGGGATTAAATGTGCGCCCTCGGGGGAGCTGGTAGCTAGTTGTGCTGAGGATCCCAACTGGTAGCATTCAAAATTTAAAAAAAAAAATAACTACATGCAACTAATGTGCCTGTGCCATCGCTGTGAGCACGTTGACCCGTGTGCAAGATGGGAAGTGTGGGCACCACTCTGGAAAATTCTGGGTCCCCGTCTTGACCGTGGCTCTCCCCATGGAAGATCTTCCCACATCTGACCCCAGAGGTGAGACTTGCCCTGACGTGAACTTTATGTAGCTGGAATCCTACACATGACCTCTGGCTCTGTCTGTCTCTGTTCAATGCAAGGGTTCTGAGGTTCACCCCCAGCACCATCCTACTAGTGACTCATCCCTTTTTGTGAATGAGTCGCAGTCCGTTTCATTAAAATGCCATTCGTTATTCATTTATCCATTTCCTTACAAACGGACGCTTGAGTCGCTTCTGGTGTTTTCCAGTTCAGAATAAGTTGCACTGAGCATTCTTGGACAAACGGAACACTGGGACATATGCTCCATTTCTTTGGTATTAATAACCAGGAATGGAATCACTGGATCACAGGTGTACGAATGTTTCACTTCACAAAAACACAGCCCGTTGCCAGTGGTTGTAACTCTATATTCCCACCAGCGAGGCCTGAGATTCAGTGGCTTCACACCCTCCCTTAAACTTGATACTGTGCATCTTTTTGATTTAGATCCACTCGGTGGATATGAAGTCACGTCCCACTGAGGTTTCCATTTGCATGTCCTCAATGACCAAGAGGTTCATCACGTCTTCACGAATTTATTAGCCATTTGAGCAGTGTCTTTGGGGAGGACACTAAGTCAATCTCTTTCTCTTTTGATTATTGATTTGTTGGAGTTCTTTACATATTCAGGTTATAAGTCTTTTGCAACTTATATGTATTGCCAATATTTTCTTCTAATTTGTAACTTGCCTTTCTCATTTTCTAAAACTGTCTTTACATGGACAGAGTTTTTTAATTTTGACAGAGTATAGTTTATGATTTTTATTACATGTCTAACTTTTTTTGCATTCTGTTTAAGAAATGTGTGATCCTCTCAGATCACAAAAAAAATCTTCCCGTCTTCTAGAAAATTTGTATTTTAGTTTTCACATTCAAGTCTGCAATTCATTTCAAGTAAATTTTTGTATATTTTTATAGTATGAGTGGTGAGCTGAGGTTAATTTTCTCTTTCCATGTGGATATTCAATTGACCCAATACCACTTATTAAAAAGCCTTTCTTTTCCTTTTTTCTCATAACCATTCATCAAAGATCATCTGAATGTACATTTGTGAATCAATTTTCATTATTGCATCACCATTAAATAAGATAGTCTCTATAGCATTTTCACAGATACCTATTATTAAATCAAGGAATCTTATTTATCATGAACACCTATTGGATCTTGTCAAATGCATTTTCCGTATCTAATGAGAAGACCACATAATTTTGTCAAGTGTGTTTTCTGCATCTATTGAGATAACCATATAATTTTCTCCTGTATTCAGTTAATATGGTAAATCACATTGATTATTTAATGCGACAGCAATACTGCATTCCTAAAATAACCTCACTTATCCATGATGAATTATCCTTTTTAAAATATATGGCTGAATTGTGATCAGTAACATGTTGAAAAGCTTTGTGTACTTTGGTGTTATTTCTTTTTTTAAGTGTTTGATCAAAGTCAAGTTAACTCCACTGGGCCACAAGTTTTTCTTTTATCATATCCAAATGGTAAAGTTTTTAGATATAGATTCAATTTCTTTAGCAAACACAGAGCCATTCAGATGGTTTCTTATCATTTCAGTTTATAAAAATCATGTTTCTTCAAGGTATTTGCCCGACTTATTGACATTGTCAAATTTGCTGGCATAACGTTTTTATAACATTTGTGATTTTCTGTGGTGATATCCTCGTGTGTGAGTGTGTGTGTGTGCGTGAGTGTGTATATGTGTGCATATATGTGCGTGTGTGTATATGTGTGTGCATGTATGTGCGTGTGTGTGTGAGTGTGTGAGTGTGTGTGTGCGTGAGTGTGTATATGTGTGCATGTATGTGCGTGTGTGGGTGAGTGTGAGTGTGTGAGTGTGCGAGTGTGTGTGTGTGTGAGTGTGTATATGTGTGCACATATGTGCGTGTGTGTGTATGTGTGTGCATGTATGTGCGTGTGTGTGTGAGTGTGCGAGTGTGTGTGTGCGTGAGTGTGTATATGTGTGCATGTATGTGTGTGGGTGGGTGAGTGTGAGTGCGTGAGTGTGTGTGTGCGTGAATGTGTATATGTGTGCATATATGTGCGTGTGTGGGTAAGTGTGAGTGTGTGAGTGTGTGTGCGTGCGTGAATGTGTATATGTGTGCATGTATGTGCGTGTGTGGGTGAGTGTGTGAGTGTGTGTGCGTGCGTGAGTGTGTATATGTGTGCATGTATGTGCGTGTGTGGGTGTGAGTGTGTGAGTGTGTGTGCGTGCGTGCATGTATGTGCGTGTGTGGGTGAGTGTGCGTGAGTGTGTATATGTGTGCAAGTATGTGTGTGTGTGTGTATGTGTGTGTGAGTGTGAGTGTGGTTTGGGGCTGGTTTGCTTTTTCTGAACCAGGCACTGAGCGCATTGGCGCTGAACCGCTGAGCCACACGGCAGCCCTTGTGACAGAGTCCTGCTAAGCTGCTCAGGCTCGCTCTTGGGTCTTAAGCTAGTCACCTGCACTCCTCTCTCTTGTGCAGCCCTAGTGCTAGGAATCATAAGGTAATCATTTTTCAAGACCTGGCCTTTTGCTGACTGCCTTCAGGACGGTGTCCTACTCTGTTGGTTTCCACTTATTATTCCCCTTCTCCTTCTTCTGGGCCTACTTTGCTCCTCTTTTTCCAGCTCTTTAGCACACAAGCTTCAGTCGACGACTTTCCGTCCCCCTTTCTTACCGACACGTTGAAAGCCTCAGCTGCTCTTCAGCTGCACTCTTCAGGTCTGAGGAGTGGGGTTTTGTGATCATTCTATTCAGAATACCTCCCAATGCCTTTCTCATTTCTTTCTGACCTACACATTCTTTAGAAACGGAGAGTGGGTCCTCACTTGGGGAAGCCTCTCTCTTTGTCACTGATTCCTGTTCTGGGGGGTGCACCCGCATCTTTCCGTGCCTCTGACCACACGCTCCGAGGTCTGTCCCACGCTCCGAGGCGGAGCCCACTTGGCTGAGCCTCCCCATGTTCTCGGGAGCCCGCGTGTTTCGTAGCTGGGGACACAGCTGGGGACTCCCCCCAGCTCCTTTCCTTCCCGAGACTCGAGGGTCTGTTCTGTCTCGGGCCGTGCTCCTGTCTGCACAGCATTTCCCCCCCGCTCCACCCACGTCAGTCCCCAGCACTGCCCCGTCCCCCTGGCCTCTCGAGCCTCCAGCGACTGGGAAGGGGCGCAGGGCGCAGGGCTCAGGAACTGCTGGTCAGGGAGGGTTCCTTCCTGGTCCCTCTCACTCCATTCTCAACGGGGAACTGTGGTGACTCATTGGAGCTGACTGCTGGGGGTCACACAAGGTCATCTGTAGTCCCGGGGGACGTCTCTGCTCCATGGCTCAGGACATGGCCTGTGTAAGGTACGGCACCATTTGTTTTTCTTTGCACACTGATTTTTTTCACGGTTTTCAAAGTGAATACGTACGTACTTGAAAATGTGCTTTACGAGAATCCTAGAGTCCTTCTCTGCCTGTGATTTACCAAAGTGATAGATTCAAGTTTTGGAAAATTAGTTTACTTAAAGCAAAAGACCAAGTAAATGGAAATGCAGGGTGCTCAGCCATACGGTAAATGGAGCCCATTTAGAAGATGCAGGCAGACTGGTGCGATCACTGCTGTGCGCTCAACCCTGCTGCTGCACGGCGCAGACCAAAGCCGACTGTCTGAATCATCCCAGATCCTCCCAGGACTGCCTCTAGGGGAGCTGAGGTCCGAGCCCACAGAGCACTGCACACCAGGAAAGCATTCCGACGGCACCCTCCATCGTCCACCCTGGCTTTGGGGTGGAGGCTGGAGCAGCCCCAGGAGACGCCACGCGGCACAGGCACCCGCACCTTCTGCTCCCCGCGTCCAGCCCGCGGACTCGCTCACCTTCTCCCACTCTCGGTCTTTGTTCAGCACGATCACCACCAGCCTGGGGTGCACCTGATAGCCCTGCTCCGTGAAGGACAAGTCTTTGCCGTCCCACGTCACATTGACCATGAATCTAGATGGAGGAAGAGAGAAAGACAAAATTTAGAAAAAGATGAAACAGGTGTCAAACAGATGAGTGGACAGCACGCGCAGCACAGCACCCGGCCACCATGCATCCCCTGAGGGCTCCGTCCGTGGAAGGAGGGGACCCAGAGGCACTGCCCACCGACCAGGCACTGTGGTCACCAGAACCCCCACCCTGTGTAGGCATTGACGATTGACCGTTTAGCTCACGGAGCGGAATGCTCTTGACCGGCAGATCCACAGATCTGGGTCCAGTGACCTGGGGAGGATCTGTGTACGTATCTGTCACGCTTTAGGAAGCTCCTGAAGGAACCTGTCACTCCTGAACCACAGGTGGCCAACCTCAGAGCCGTGAGACCTCACCATTGGTCATTCACTCAGCACGTTCGCACTGAGCACCTGCCCCACGCCACGGTGATGGGGATAACTAAGGAAACAAACGTGATCCCCAACTTCATGACCTCTCTAGTCTCAGGGAAGGAGAGGTGTCACTTCATGAATCACAGACTTATGACAAGTGCTACCACAGAAAGAAGGCCATGTCAGGGGAGTGGGATGGTCAGTAGGCTGGCCAGGTAAAGAAGGACCCAGGCAGGCAAAGGGACAGCACGTGCCAAGGGCCTGTGGTGAGGACCCGGAGAGCCCCCAGACGGAAGCGGAGAGAGCCAGGGAAATGCAGCATTAAGTGAGGTGGGAAGACGGGTGGGGGCTGGCAGGGTGAGCCGCATGGGCCACTTGGCGTTTTGTCTTTGTCTTAAACAAAGGGAAGCCATCGCCCGGTTCTAACTGAGGGGTTGACCTCATGATCTGTTCTGAGATCAGGAAGGCCGTGGAGGACAGGCTGGAGGAGGGCTGGAGGGGGGAGAGACGGCGCTCTTGTCATCGAGGTGAAAGCCAGTGGTGGCCCTGTCACTGGTGGTGGCCAAAGAAGAGGAGAGAGGAGGAAGAGGAAGAACGGGAGCAGTGGGCACCCGGGACCAAGAGGGGCGTCAGCCGCCAGGGTTCCGCACTGAGCGAGGCGGGGGGACGGGGCAGGGGATCGATGGCTCCTAGCCCTCCCCACGTCACGTCCATGCAGCAAGTTGCTCAGCACAGTGACGTCCGGGTGCCCTCTGACACTTGTCCCCTCCCGCTCCTCAGGTCAGGCTGCCTCTGATGGGCCACCAAGTTAGGGCTGGTCTCCCAGAACCTGGGGAAGCCGAGGTCCACGCTTCCTCCCTGCAGCCTGTGGAAATGTGAGGTTCAAACATCCAGGAAAACACGCGGTGGCCACGGGGCAGACCCCAGTGAGCACCAGTGGAGCACGCATCACTGCCCCGGGGGAAGCCCGGTCTCAGGGCCACGGCTTTCTCCTGCTTCACATCCTCTTCGCACCAAAAGCAGCTAAAGAAGTAAACAGACCAAGGAGCACAGCGAGCGCGGAGAGAGACTGGCCCGGGCCCTCGTTCCCCTGCGGTCTGCCCCGCGCACAGAGCCTGGCCGCATCGCTCGGGGGATCAGGCCTCCAAGGACAAGGTGAGTGGACGGGGAGACGGATGCACGGTGTGTCCACTCAGGGGACCCTCTGGGTCATTAAGAGCCACGTGTCAGCGACCAGCCAAGGACATGGGGAAACGCTCACTGAACACGGGATGGAGACGGCGCTCGTCCACGCACGGAGGGTATTTCCCACTTCCTTTCCCACTTCCCTTTGCGGGTCTTCTACTCTCCCAGTTGTGCACAACCAAGTCCTTTAACTCACGGAGAAGGAAGCGCTGCTCTCCTGGACGGAGCACAGCAGCCCAGTTCTGCTCACGCGCCGAGCTTCCTCTGATCCTTCCTTGACTAACAACCGTTTGCTGTCTGTCTGAGCGAGTCTGTGGATACAGACAACACGGAGCTCTGCCCTCTGACCGCACACGCGGACACTCAAGGACGGGGACGCACGAACGGTGGCCAGCGCTAACACGCCACTGGTGCCGTGGTGAGGGAGCAGGAGCCTGTCTCAACCTGGGGACCTCAAGGAGGAAAGGTGGGGGAAAGAGAGAGCCTCCGATGAGCAGAGCCAGCTAGGCCCAGAACCCTCCACGGCAGTGACACCTGCCAGGAGGACGACTGTCACACTGTGTGCACGGGGACGAGTCGGGGACAGCGGGTCTCATCCGGGTTTTGTTGGAAGGCCACGGGGCCTGAAAGAAGACCGCCTGGAGGAGTGGTGCACCAGGGTCAGCACCAGGAGGAGCAGAAGTGCGCAGCTGCCCAGCACCGGGAGAGACGGCCAGCGCTTCAGTGAGTGGCCCAACACAGCCGTCGTCAACAAGAGGGAAAAGGTTCTGTGTCTGCTTCCCTGATGCTTCCCGGCCGGCCGCTGGCCTGGGATGTGCTCAAGGACGTGGTGCGGAAGGGGCACCTCAGGAGCCGCACAGGCCCTTCTGTTTAACTGGTGCGTGATAATCAGACCTCAGGGGGGATCACCGCGCCCTGTCTGCACACGAGGGAAACCCAGGGGGCCCACCTCGTTCCCCAGGACCTGCCTTCCCCTCCCTGATCTGCTCTCTGTTGGTCCCCCTCCAGTTATCCCCATTACTTTAACCCGTGCAGGATTCGTCCTGGTATCTTCACACGGACGCGGCGTGATCTGGTAGACTCGGTTCCCCAGAACTTCCCCACGGCCTCCCTTCTCCCTCCCTCTCCATCCCCCTCCTCCGCCCGCAGCCTCCCTTCTATTTCTGTGAGACCATGTTCCTTTCTTACCCCCCCCCCCGTAGCTCCCCCATCATCTGACCCTCGACTCTCGGAGCCGGGCTCACGTCACTTAGGGAGGATTTGGGTTCCGCCACTGTGTTCCTGGACTGGGGCGCAGAGAAAAACTGAACTTTGGCCGAATTCCTCAGTGCCTGCCGCTTTCTCAGTAGCTAACTGAGGCCTGGATCAGACTGTTTTTCCTCTTCAGGTTGACACGTTAGCTCCATTCCTCTTGGTTATTTTTGGCCTTGTCACATTGTGTGGCATAGAACAGTGGCCCAGTTAATGCCGGTGGCTGAGGATCCTGACAGGTCGACACTGGAAGTCCCATCCCCTCACCCGTGCGTGTGTCCGTTGTCGACAGTCCACCCGTCCTCCTGTCCACCAGTGCACTCATCAACACGCTCCTCCATCCCCCCGTCCAAGGGACGTGGGGGAGTGCCCACCATATGCCACACCCTGCGCCAAACCTTCGCTAAGAGAATGACACACAGTGGCCATGTGTTCCGGGGTAGGGAGGAGACGTAGATGACTGGGCACACACACGGAGAGCAGGTGTGAAAACGGGCGTTCACCAGGTGGGGAGGCACAGGGAAAGGTGGCCCAGGCTCCTGGGGTTCCAGGGCCGGGACTGGGAAGCAGGTGGAAACGTCTGGGCGGGATCAGAACGAGGTGAGTGAGAGCGAGGAGAGGATGGACAGGTGGAGGGAAAGACAAGAGCCAAAGCGGGAACCCGGGACTTCCTGGGGCACGAGTCCAGCCCGGTCAGAGCCCTCGGGAGGCGGAGAATGCGGGGCAGAAACCTGGGAGCTGACGCGGGAGACAGAAGCAGGAATCAGACCAGAAAGCCGTCAGTAGAGCTCCGGGGGCCGCTCCCTGCTGAGGTCAGCCGGGGGAGGCTCAGGAGCAAGTCTGGAGGAGACAGCGACCAACGGAGGACACTCGCAGTGACCCCGACAGGAAAGAGGGTCCGGGAGCAGCCCAGACAGGCGAGCGACCCGGGGTCACACCACGCCCGGACACCCTCCACGGCTCTGCCCCTGATCCGCGGTCAGGCCGGTCGATGCGTGGAGGTGCCTCTTACTGAATCCAGCGGGCTCTCTCGCCAGGTGTCCGCTGTCCAACACTTCAGGGTGCATGGACTCAGGGTGGATCTTCCTAAAGCCCCGGATGTGGTAAAACTGACAAGGTTTAGTAAAGGATCAAGAAGCTCAGAGACATCCAGGTTGTTATCTGTTTGGAAAAGGTAGACGCCGTAGTTTGCATCTTGAATCTTCCCCAAAGGCTTGGTCTAGAGCGTGGAGCTACTGGAAGATGGCGGAACCTTCAAGACCCAGTGGTGAGTGGGAGGTCATTAGAGCACTGTGGGCCTCCTCGGAAGAGGGTAGGGGGAACCCCTGTCCTTTCCTCTCTCCTTTTTACTTTGTGGCTACAAAGCAAGTGCCATTTTTCTCCCATGCGCTCCTACCACACGTCTGAAAGCCATGGTCTTGCCCATCAGGGACTGGAACCTTCAAAACTGTGAGCTGAAATAAACCTTCGCTCTTGATAAGTTGATTATCTCAGGTTATTTGTGATAATGATGAAAACTGACCAATACAGGCAGACCAGAGAGCAAATGTTTTGAGTTTTGATAGACAGATGGCCCTGGGGACAGCCACTTGCAGGTTGTGTGCACGGACTGAATGTCGGTCCGTCACTGTTGAACTCAACAAGCCAGCATGTACCAGTGAGTGTCTTTCTTTGGATTTACCTGTTTAAATGACTTAAATCTCCATCTCTATTTCTCTACTCATTGCTTTTCTTCCATTTCCCAGTGAAAGCAGGTGGAATTATCAGGGTGATCATTTGGATTCAATCTGCCTTCTTCAGATCACATTAAAACAATTATATAGAGACCCTTATGCTACAGATTGTTTGGAGTTCCTCGAATATTCAATATTCTGGACCAATGGCTCTATATACTCAACATTAATATTGTCTCTTTTCATCTATTTGGAGTCTCCAGTCCCTTGGGAGGAAAAAAGAAAAACTCTAACAGAAATTTCTGCTGAACAGTAATTTCATTACGAAGTTGGCAGGAAGCAAGTACCTATTACCTTCAATTCCCCCTTCCAATTTCTAGGAGGGACAATCCATATTTCCTTGGCCTTTCTTCCCACTTAAACTTGCTCCAGAACAAAATTTTTTACCTAGAGAAATAGCATTCTATACCACGTTGCTGGGTCCCCACTAACACCTGCTGGGCAGTGGGGTTAAATAATA